CTTACTCAAAATGCTCTGGGAAGGCACAGAGGCTCCCTGCTCTTGCCTCTTCCTGGGTAATACAGACCATCGCAGCTCTTAAGATACCATGCTGAACACAAGCAAAGCAAAACTACTACATTATCTCCAACCAAATGACAAGTATTCCAGCAGGATTCCTCTTTCCTTTAGAAGCTGTGTTTCTCCAAGGGCAGGAAAGGTTATAGCATCTGGCAAAGCAGTGCACAGTACCAAAGAGAAGTATTAGAGAGAATTATGGAGAGCACCAACCCTCACATGTAGTCCACTTTCTTACACTTACAGTGATTACTTCTGTTACTTAATGCTTTAAAACTTTTATTTCCCCAACTTCACAGCACTTTACCACTGTAAGTAATCTTCATTTCACCCCAGTGAAGGAAATAAGTACTATTATCCCTCCTCCTTTATTTGGAGATGAAGGAAGTTGCCCAAGGTGACACACTGAGTCAGGAGCCACCCGAAGCTGGCATTACTCCTCTACCTGCAGATTTCCTAGATGATCCTGCCCTTATTAAAGATGTTCTGACTTTATTGTGGTAGACTTCAAAGAGCAGCAGCCAGCACACACTGTCCCTCGTGGCAGCACTCCCTGAGGAGAGGCAAGCCAGTGTCCCTCACACCAGTGGCAGGAGAACACAGCACGTGCCCAGCTCCTGCCAGCCAACACCTGGTGCAAAGGAAAGGTTTGGCAAAGCAGGGTGGTCTACAGCACTCAATCTCTCCCAGTTATTGACTGGGCTCTTGGCCCCACTGGGATTTTCTTTCTTTTGCACATGTCAGTAAGAAAAGGAGAATGAATAGGTTAGGGATGGCAGCAGGCAACAGAAGGAATAATGCTAACACTGGTGGGCAATAATTTAAAAGGCCAAGAGGCAAGACTAACATTTGAAATCACTGACAAATCCCTGAAGTTGTGAATACTATCAAGTATTTTCTGTCACCCTGCTGATGTTCCCCTTTTTTTCCTGGAGTAGTTGTTTCAGGCAAGAGGGCAGTATTTTTACAGCTGTAGTCCTGGAGCCTGGCATCCAAGATGAGCATTACCAACGCAGGCCGCAAGGCAAGCTGACCAGCCCTAGCAGCAACGCTGCCCTCAGTGCTGGGAGGCCAGGGCTGGTCTGGGTGAGCATCTTGTGTAATGGATGCAGGATTTTGCTGCCAGGAGGGGGCCTGGGGCAGTCAAAAGTGTTCCATGCTCCTTCAACAACCACTTTAGAAGAGAAAAAGACACAGAGATAGAAGCCACCAGGATGGGGAGAAGGAATCAATTCAGGAATACCAGAAACTCATTATGTTCCTCCCTGCAAGTCACTTAGTTAACCTCTTTTCCCTCAACATCCCCCTGGAAATCACTGGTGATGACACTAACAGTTAATCATCAGAAATCAAGATTTATCTTGATTTTGTCCCAGCAAATAGAGTGCAGCCACTCAGACACAGCTACCTACATTCCAGTGGGATGGTTTTGGTTACCAGCAACGCTGCCCTCCCAATACACCAGTCCTCCCAAAGCACAGCCATCAATGCCGCAACACACACCCCCCTGGGATATCAGATGCATACCCTGTGCACAATGTGCCTTCCCAAGGCTGCCACACAGCTCTGTCCCGCCCCCCCAACGCTGCTGTTAGCATCAGTCACTCTCACAGGAGAGGTGGTGTCATCCTAGGGAAGTTGCCCTGAGCACACTCCTGGTATACTCCACACCCTACAGCCTCCACATCCCCCTCAGATGCTCTGCAAACCTTGGCTTGCTCCTGGCTGCAAAGCCAAACATTGCTGATGGATTGCCCAGCAGCAGGAAACATTTAATAATTTATCCATTGTGATACAGACACTGTTCAGTACCACACATGCTCACTTCACATTGCCACTTATGCCAACACGGCTGTCACTCAGCATCAGTCCACTTCTCACAGTTGTGACTCCAAAACTCTTAAGTTAATGTTAAGACAGGCTTTGAATGTTTTAATATCCATGTGAGGAGAGGAGAGGGCAGGGCTTGCCATGGGAGGGCAGGCAGCATCCTCAGCAAGACTGCTGCAGAAGCATTCAGTACTCCTGAGCACTCCAAGGTTTTCCTGCCCCGATATGATTTAAGGCCTCAGCACACTAACCAAGGTAATAAAACAAAGACCAGGGGAGAGATTGGAAGATGAGACTCAAGAAGGGATGAAAAGGAAGAGGAAAGAGAGAAAAGAAAAAAGACAAAGATGAACTGGTGGTCACCCAGGAAAGCATATTTACAGAAAAGGAACTTAAAAACTACTTTTCAGCATATACTTGTCAAAGAGCAACTTTTTTTGTGGGATCAGTCTCTTTCCTGCACTTTGGGTGTTAGTAACACTTGTGATTCCAGTGATATTTCATCTTCTTTTTAATGTTGTAACTCCTTGACTTGGAAGACAATGAGAATTTCAACTTACAGGCCTTGCCTTTTTTGTTTTTTTAAAACGTGAAGTTCAGCCAGACAAAGAAGAAACCCACAAACACCTTTTATTTCATTATTTTGGAGGCCTGACCCCAAGAGTTTTACAGGTGTGAGGTTGACAATAAGGCAGCAGACAAATTATCTGTTAGTTTCTATTACGCCTTGTAGAAGACCACAAATAAGAGATCATCTGTTCAATAGCTGGTGTCTGCAGGGCCAGAAATCTGCAATTCTGCCAGAGCTCAGCTGTTGGGAGGCATTATTATCTAGAAATAGGCCAGGCTTGAAGAAAAGGAAAACTGAAGGTTACAAAGGACAAAAAAAAGAAGGTCCATTTGAATAGGAAAGGCAGGATTCTGCCTCCTGATGTAGCTCTGCTACCTCAGCTACATGAGGCAAGGTTCACTTCATAGTTTACTACAGAAACCAGCCAGTCGTTTAATCTGCTTTACCATTTTCTCTTAAGAAATACTGCTGAACTTCCTCCATTCACTATTTCTCCACCAACAGAAGGTCTAAGTCAGAACGATATTTTCTTCAGACACCTAGTAGCTAATAAACATTTAAATCTGTTTTCAGAGTCTATGTACCATTAAAAAAAAACACCTCAAAACATCCTCTTTGAAGACAATCCACTTATCAATAGCATCTGCACACAGAACAAGACCTGCCTGGTTAAAAAAGTTAGTATGTTTTAAAAGTGTATGATCTAACCTGCATCTTCCTGCTCATGCTATTTCTTTACCCTGTGCAACTCACTCTGCCATGGACAATGAGAACAGTCTGGTTGTTTCCAGTTTCACACCAGAGCAAATGCTTTGGTTTCCCAACCCTCATGCACTGCACACTGCTTTTAAGGCTTGCGCTGCAAGCAGTGCACAACCAGTCTCTATCAGAATTTCCTTCGAACACCCGAGACAAAGGAAAATACAAACATATTTGACATCTGACCTCAGAGACCTCCAAAGTCCCATTCCCCACAAGTATGACCTTCTTTTAAGAAGAGCTTCAGTTTACCAGAAATCCAGATGAGTAACAGTGATGACAAACTTATACCATAGGGTTTTCGGAAGAATTAGTAACCGGTTCTTGCCAACCAATCATCAATTCCCATGAAGTGCTCACTTGGCTATGATTATCATTACTTACACGGGTGCCATCAAACTGAAAATGAGTCAGTATTTTAAAAATTATTAAGAGCAGTTCTGGATAGTAAAGCAGCTGTCCAGTCCACACCAAACTGCATGTTCTTCAGAAGAAGGTGATATTTCCTCCCTCACGTCCAAGAGAAAAGGCACCACTTGCTCTGATACCAGACAATACTAATGAACCATACAAAGGAAATAATGGGTTACTTCACGCATTTGACAGCTCACTGCAGTTTTAAAAGATTTGTGAAGATGAAAATGTGTTTCCTTTATCTCAAATTACTTCATTTTAGGTACTTGTAGCAATTATAGCTAACATCTTTTGGACAGAAGCGTGGTTCTTGAATTACAACATCCATTTCAAAGCAACACTCAAATTAATCTAGACAATTTCTCCAGCCCCTAAGTCCACAAGGTTAAGGTTTGACAAGTTCCAGTTTCTTCTGTGATCAAATCAGAACTAAATATTTCTGCGCTGCTGAAGTGCTAGGGAATGAGGTAACCTTCCCTTGAGAAGACAGCTCCCTTCCTTCCCATGCAGACTCCATGGTAAGAGCTATTCACCCCAGCAAAAGGGTGCAGGTGATGCACTAAGCAAGAGCTTTGGGAACGCTGCATTCATTACATTTTACAGCTGGCTTTCAGGAGGAAGCTGCCAATTGCTGAGATTGCCAGGGGTGCAGCTCCACCAGAGCAGCCACTCAGGTCCAGCCCAGGCTGCAGCATCCCACCCAGCAAACTCCTGGTTTACAAGGCAACTGAGGTGCCCACTTACTGTTGGGTTGACTGAAGACAGCATTATCTCAGTCAAGAGTTTTCAGTCTTAAGCCTTTGGCTCTGCAGCAACACATCTTAACCACTTCAGGTCCTTGGAAGGATCATTTTTCCTGATACTTGCCTGCTGTTTGAGTGAAACAAGCTTTATGTTTTCCTGGACTCTTACTGGGCCAGTGTTTTGGATCCAGTGAACAGTTACTACAGCTTCGCAAAACAGTAATAGTGATAAAACTCCAGGATATTAGTAAATATATGGAAAGTCACAACAACATGCATTTCAAATCTTTGTACCCCAGGTGATCTCCATTAATTTTCCCTTCACTCCCCTTCAAATTACAGCAGCAGCAAACACGATGTCACATCTGAGCCTCCAAACACAAAATGAAAATAGGCTAAATAAAACATAGCAAGGTCTGAAAATAATCAAAGACATCTTAAATTTATGTTCTGATCTTTTTTTCTACTGACAAATACAGCCTCAGCAAAAGACCTAACTATAGGGAGTATTAAAAGTGACATGAGAAGTTTTTTCCAACAGTTGCCTGTACTGGAGCTCCTCAGGAGGCTTTGCTGCAGACATGTACAGCACAAGAAGGAATTTGGTGCAAGGGGCTCATACTCACTGTCTGCAAAGTTTCCTCCTGTCGTCTGCTTTGGCTCTGTCGGTTGATAAAGGAGCGCGTCGAGAGTTTGTAATGGTTCAACAAGCAGATGATCACTACCACCATAACAGTTATAACCACAATTATAATGATGATTTGAACAAACTCCAGTTCAGCTAAAACAAAGAAAAAGAGAGGAAAGTATGTCAATCACACACAGGATGTTATCCATCAAAGCAATAATCTGAAAAACCCCCAGTATTTCATCAATATTGATCTGGAGCGAGAAGTTACTGCTGTCCATTTTGCAAAGTTTTGTGAAGAAAACTTTGTTCTAAAAAGTATGAAAAATATTTTTTGACTTTGACAATCAATCAGCACGAGTGCCTGCAGGTCAAATCTAAGAAACTTCTTGGTGATCCTCCTCCGTAGCATTCATAGGTAATAAACTCTTCGGCATCAATACCACAGACAAGCCTTTTCGATAATACAACAATTCCACTGTGGACAAAACCAAACCACACACAAAACACACTATTTTAATAGCCACCTGCAATGCCAGTAGTCCCAGAGGACACCAAAAGCTTCAAAGTTGAGGCCATGGAGAGAGAAAACAGGACACAGCAATATACAACTGTATTGAGTAGACTTTTTGTCAGCTAAACAGTATGAAAGCTACCTAAATCAACTGGAAAACAAACTTTTTTCCTATTGAATCTACATGCAACATCTTTTTCAATTACTTACTTCTCTCTAACTAGAGTAAAATTAACTTTTCTAGGACGTTCCCATTCAGGTGAAAAATCTAAAAAGAGATCTGGTACTCTAAAACAAGATATGTTCCACTATGGTTAAAAATGAAACCAGGGCCTTGGCTGTTGCAAGAGATACAATTACAATGAACTCCATCAGAGCACACCATCTTATCTGAAGTCCTGTCTATACCACAAATATTAAGTATATTTAGAAATGAGTCACTCTTGCACTCTTTCAGCTATACTGGAGCAGCAAGGATAAGCAATGTAAGGGGAGAAATTGCCCCCTGGAGTTATATACAGTTGCTGCTATTTCTATGGAAACTGCGTTGCTCACAAGGGATGCTCTCAGCCTGAAAGAGAACTCCAGTTAATGGGAGGAGGTCTTTGGTTGAGATGCTGGTAGAAAACGCAAAGCGGTGCGAGTTGCTCAGTTTCAGCACTTGCCAAAAAGGGCGCTGCTTTTGGGCATCGAAACATAGAACTTCAGGGAACTGATATTAAATTTATTTTTAGAAGACAATGAAGAAATAAAATATAAGAAGACAAAGCAAACAGAGGAGAAAACATGCTTGCTTCCCCCCCATCTTTCATTTGTAGTCATCTCAGCCTTCTATGTAACAGCAGTACACTTGTGCAAACACAACACAACTATGAAGCTGAGCTAGGAAAATGCTGTTCACATATAAAATCCAAAAATGATCTGCGGTGGAACTAAAGGAAATCCAAGACTGTTTCATTATTCTAAGATCTCTTGCAAACAAAGCCTCAGACTACAGGACCTGCAAGTGCACTGGTGGCCCGTGGATGCTCATGGTCCAACTATTTGCCACAGGTTACCAGCAGGCAGAGGCAAACCACCATCTAAGTGCTGAGCTTCTGCAACCATCCCAGTAGGAGTAACTGAACTCCTTTAAGGCTAAAGAAAGACTAAAGGGCAACAATACGTCTATCATTTAATTGCACTCTGCTGTTAAGTACCATCCACTCATCATTAAGACCACCAACATTTTCAGAAAATTTGATTAGTCAATACTTTGCTCTGCTTTTGCTATCAATCCCATAACCAGCAATCTTTTTCTTCCTCTCAAGTCATTGGAAGCTAACAGTGTCAGCGCCAAAAGATCAAAAAGCAGTGAGCATAGAATTAATTAAAAAACAAACCTACCAAAAGCATGCTTAAGTAAAAAGTCAATTTGTCTTGGCTCAGAAGCACAGAATACAGATTTGACATAGCTGACAACTGCTGCAATTCACATTCTGCAGCTACTAAGTATCAAAGGGTTTCTTTACCCAAAAGGTTTTTGGTTTTTTTTGAGGGTCCATGTAATACTTTAGACTGGGAATTGAGAGACCGTTGCTAAAGGGCAACATGCAAAACAAGCAATGTTGATTTAGGCTTTCCTAGAATGCAAAGATCACTGGAATGACATGTTACTTCTCTATCTGCCAACGGCAGAGACTTCTAAATTTATCAAGGCCCCAGCATTTAGTTTTCATACTGGCAGGGGACAGTACCTCTCCTTTAGAAATAAAAGATTGAGACTGTAAGCATTTCCCTTGTGGGGAATAATTTGGAAATATTTGACTAAAACATGGCCATACAATAAAAAAAAAAATTAAAACCACAGCACACAGGTGTGAGCACACAGGATTTTCCAAGTCCAGCTTTACATCGCAAACACTAAAACACAACAAAACACCCCACTGATGTTCAAGAGAATTTCCATGATAGAAAGCAGCGGGAAAGGAAAAGGGAAGGTTAATTTTTGATCTCTTCTTTCTCCTGAAGAAAGCCCTCCTGCTACTCATTAGGTTATTAACAGGAAAACGCAAAGAGACAAGAGCAGCAGTAGTCTGTTTACCGGCGCTGCTCAAGACGATCTGAACAATTTCTGGCAGCTGCTGACAAGCACGGGGTGACTCTGGCCCCCGCCTCACCTCCTGCCCTGCTGCCCCTCACCTGCTGCGGCACTTGCCAGAGCGGCACCTCCTCCGGCCCGCTTCTCCCATGAATTAACTGGAAAGGAGACTAGGGGGAGCTTCGGGAAGAGAAAACACAGGTTTTTACCTCCCCAAGTCTCCCCGTCACACTCACATATAGTTGTTTCTTCACATGCAGGAAATAATACTTACAATAAATTTTTTTCCAGGAGAATATTTTTCATAGTAAACACACAAAAAGGCAACTACACATTGAATGAAAACACCTTAACGGCAGAGCATTTAAAAAAGGAACAATTTATAACCCTATCAACAAGCACGCAAGCAAAAGCATCTGCACCATCGCCCTAAATCCTCCCCC